CAGGGCAGGCGTCAGCCCATGCCATCACCCTCACAGAGCCCTGGGTCAGCTTAACCATTGAAGGCCAGGAAACTAACTTCCTCCTGGACACTGGTATGGCCTTCTCAGTTTTATCCTTCTGTCCCAGACAACTATCCTCCAGGTCTGTCACCATCAAAGGGGTCCTAGGACAGCCAGGCACTAGGTATTTCTCACACCCCTGAAGTTGTGACTGGGGAACCTTATTTTTCTCACATGCCTTTCTTATTATGCCTGAGAGCCCTACTCCTTTACTAGGGAAGGACATATTAGCTAAAGCAGGGGCCGTTATATACTTGAATATAGGAGAAGGAGTACCTGCTTGCTGCCCTCCACTCGAGGAAGGAGTTAATCCTGAAGTCTGTGCAGAGGAAGGACAATACAGACTAGCAAAAAACGCTTGTCCAGTTCAAGTTAAATTAAAGGATCCTACCTCCTTTCCTTACTAAAGGCAGTACCCCCTCAGGCCAGAAGCCCAACAAGGGTTACAAAAGATCATTAAAGACCTAAAAGCACAGGGATTAGTAAAGCCATGCAACAGTTCATGTAATACTCCTCTTCCAGGCATACAAAACCCCAAAGGACAATGAAGGTTAGTGCAAGACCTCAGAATTATCAATGAGGCAGTTGTTCCTCTGTATCCAGTTGTACCTAATCCTTATACTCTACTCTCCCAGATACCAGAGGAAGCAGAACGGTTTACAGTCCTAGATCTTAAGGACGCTTTCTTCTGCATCCCTCTGCATCCTGACTCTCAATTTTTATTTGCCTTTATTTGACGGATCTTTAAGATCCGTCAAACCCAGCGTCTCAGCTTACCTGGACTGTTCTGCCACTCATTATCGGGGCTGGGATACTAGGAGGACTAGGAACTGGCATTGGAAGCATTACCACTTCCACCCAATCCTATTACAAATTATCACAAGAGTTAAATGATGACATGGAACGAGTCGCAGATTCGCTGGTCACCTTACAAAGCCAGCTTAACTCTTTAGCAGCAGTAGCCCTTCAAAATCGGAGAGCCTTAGATTTATTAACAACCGAAAGAGGTGGAACCTGTCTTTTTCTAGGAGAAGAGTGCTGTTATTTCGTTAATCAATCTGGAATTGTCACCGAGACGGTTAAAGAGCTTCAAGACCGGATACAGCACTGGGCACAAGAACTCCAAGAAACAGGACCTTGGAGTATTGTCAACCAATGGATGCCTTGGCTTCTCCCTTTCTTGGGACCCTTGGTGGCTATTGTAATGTTGTTTATCTTTGGACCCTGCATTTTTAACCTTCTTGTAAAATTTGTCTCTTCCAGAATAGAATCCATGAAACTGAAAATGGTTTGACAAATGGAGCCCCAAATGACCACCACTAGCACCTACTATGGAGGACCCCTAGGCTGACTCCCCAACCCGTTCTCACACCATGACACTGAAGACTCCCCTCCTGAGGAAACCTCCACTGTAGAGCCCCTTCTAGGCTGCAGTTCAGCAGGAAGTAGCTAGAATGATCATCGCCCAACTTCCCAACAGCACTTGGGCTTTCCTGTTGAGAGGCGGAACTGAGGGACCAACTGGTTAAGTTGGCTGAATTCCCTGGGTCAATAGGGACTTCCCTAAGGGGACTTTCCCCTAAGCCAAAATAAGTCATAGCTGCAAGCTAAGGAATTAAAACTTCAACCAATCAAAGGGGACTTTCCCCTAAGCCCAAATGAGTCACAGCTGCAAGCTAAGGGATTGAAACTTCAACCATTTATATAGGGAGTTTAAGCTCTAGCTGCAGCCCGATGTTTTTAACTGGTCAGGCCTGCCAACCCCTAAGCAGATAGAAAAGAAGCTAATTCTATAGGACAGAAAGAGGAAAAGGGGAGGTGTCATAACAGGATATAAGCATAAGACACCCGAGCCACAAACAGCAACCCTTCCTTCCGGATCCCTTTCCACTGCGTGGAAGCTTTACTTTCGCTTTCACTTTAACAAACCTTGCCGCCACACCAAAAAAAAAAAAAAGTAAAATGGTGAAATAATGAAAATTCACAAAACCAAGGCAGAAAGAGTTGTAAGAAAATAAGAAAAAATGCTAAAACATGGCTGCATATTGAAAGTTTAATATCTAAAGTATATTGAGTTTATTCAAACCAGGCTGCCAGTGTACCGAGACACACACAGACAGTTCATACACCAGGAAAGCCAACATAAAACCAACATGTGAAACACTAAACCTCGAAAGTTAATTAAAGAAATTCAAATGGAAACAATTCTAAGGGGCCATTTAACACATACCAGATAAACAAGTATAAGAATAAATGATAAAATCCAGTACTAGTGAGACTATTGGGAAATGGTTGCTGGTAAACGTGTAAATTCGTTGTTTCTGGAGTGAAAAGCCATAAGAATAATCATACCAGAAAATGTAGCCTATATAAGTAATTCATAAAAAGAACAAAACTATAATTATAAAAATATAGCTGAATTATTTATATCTAAAAATGAAATTACCAAAATATTCAATATTAGAGAAATAATAAGACAAATAATGCGGTATAAACCTAATATTCATTCATTAGAAATGAAAACATGAAGATTCTGCAAGCAAAGGGAAATGTGTGCTGCATGGAAGTGTTAGGGGGAAAAGTACTGGATTTGGAGCCAAAAGGTCTAAGATTAAGTAACCTTTGGCTAAGGATTCAACCTCTCTGAACTTTGTTCATCTTCTAACAAAGGAGTTTTCCGCGAAAACACAGCAGTTTTCAAATGTTTTGAACACTACCTAAAAATGTTTAACTTTTTCTTCTTTTGTGGTAAGAGTATTTAATGTAAAATCTATCCTCTTACCAAATTTTTAGTATTGTCAGCATTGGCAATCATATGTCCTATGTTGGGTAGGAATGTCCAGAACTTATTTATCGTGCATGACTGAAACTTTGTACCCTTTGACCAATGCGTTTTCTCCACTCCCCAGTTCCTGTCAACCACCATTCTTTCTGCTCCTATGAGTTTGACTATTTTAGATTCTACATATAAGTGAGATCAGTCATACCTCAATAAAGTGGTTGTAAAAAAGGAAATTTTACATTGACTCCATACACACACACACACACAAACACACACACACACACATACAATCACCCGTAATAATGGTAGGCCTGGTGCAGTGACTCAGGCCTGTAATCCCAGCACTTTGGGAGGCTGAGGTGGATGGATCACCTGAGCCCAGGAGTTCAAGACCAGCTCGGGCAACATGGTGAAACCCCATTACTACAAAAAAAATTACAAAAATTGGCCAGGCATGGTGGTGCACAGCTATAGTCCCAACTACTCAAGAAGCTGAGGTGAGAGGAACGCTTGAGTCCAGGAGGTTGAGGCTGCAGTGAGCCATGATCATGCCATGGCACTCCAGCCTGAATGACAGAACAAGGCTCTCTCAACAATAGTAGTAGTAATGGTCTGTTCTATTCTGTTCTACTCTCCATTTCATTCCTTTCCACTCCATATAAAACTGCTGGTCACTAAATTGATTTCAGACCCTCTAATATATCACAACCAGCATTTCATACAACACTGGTCTAATTTATAGGTGTGCTCAAAGGTTTACTGCCAGCCCGTCTCCTCTCTCCAACACTTCATGGTTTCCCCAACCCCCACAACCTGCTGAAACTCACATAATACACCCAGAAAGCTCTACTTTTAAAGCCATGGCTGAAATGAAGCCATAGATGGCAGAAATTGTAACTGGCATGCAAGTTTATGCAGTTCTACATATAGGACATATGTGTTGAGAAGAATAAAGTGATATTTAATACAACTGGACTGGGTTAACTTGCTTCTTAGATGGTATCAACAGCTCTCTTGAATCTCTCTTAGGCTATTTCTTTCTTCCCTCTTCTCTCCTATAGCTCAAAAACCCAGAAACCATATGAGTTACTTATAGTAACATGAGCAAGCTACTTATAGTTCATATGAATAGGTGCCTTGATTTCTACTGGTTTGGTTGTGGTAAGACAGGCCTGAAGGTAACTTCTTCCGCTTAGACAAGGAACTGGCTGTTTATCTTGCCTCTAGTTTTGGCAAAGTTGTGGTAGTCTAGCTCAGCTCAGAAGGCCTGGTTTCTAGTGCTGAACATTTGCCTCTGTGTCTTCTGTGACTTAAACTCTTTAAAACGGCAGTCTTGAACTTTTTTTAAATGTACTGATTTTAACTTTTATTTTAGGTTCAGGGGTACATGTGTATTTTTATTTTTTTGAGACAAGTTCTCCCTCTGTTGCCCAGGGTGGAGTGCAGTGACACTGTAATACCTCACTGTAACCTCAAACTCCTGGGTTCAAGAAATCCTCTCACCTTGCCCTTCCAAAGCACTGGGATTGCAGCCATGAGTCATTGCACCTGGCCTCAAGTCATAATATGCTTAAGAGTCACCTAGGTGTCTTTTTAAAAACTACAAATGTGTAAGCCCCATTATTGAAGAGCCTGATTCAGTGATGCGGTAGGTTCACGAAATTACATTTTAAATAAACACCCCACGTGCTTTCTCCAAATTGGGGAAACCCTCCTTTGGGGACTATAGCCAAGGTAGAGGGCTGACTGGGATTTGGAGATTGCTGGTCCTGGCCACTGCTGCTTTCCACTGAGGATTTCCAACAAATCTTAGTTTTGTCACCTATAAAATATAGAAAGCATATGAGAGCTGTAGGCCTCCTTCAGCTTTACCCTTGTATGACGTGTCTAGAAATAATATTACATGAAAGAACAAAGAAGGCTTTTGTATATTGTTTCCAACTTTGTAAAAAAAATAACTATGTCTGGATACTAGAAGAGGTCAAAAAGATATTGATGTAGTGGCATTATGGTGCAATTGTGGATGTACTTTAAAAAATAAAGAAAATATTAAATAATTTTTTTAAATGGCGAACAATGACAGGGACATCAAGGAGTATTAGAACTAAAACAGAACTTTGAATGTAAATGAGATGATTATGACATCATTGGTGACAATAGAGAGAGCAACTTAGTACCACCTTGGAGATGAAAATCATTCTGGAGCTAAGGAAGAAGAGGGTGGATAGTAAAGGGAAGTAGAAAGAAGATGAGCGAGTGTAGCTAAAGGGAAAAGAAAGACAGAGCTAAGACTAAGTATCTTTGAAGCCAGACGAGCCCTTGGTAGACACACTGAAGTCCCAGGAAACATCGAAATTCAAAGTGCATTGGAAGGAAGTGGACTTAACAAAAAGGTGTGTTTTCTCAGTAAGGAGGAAGAAGAGAGGATCTGCTACTAATTGTTCCTCCAAGTAGGACACATTGGAATTGTGTCCCAAAGAGTTAAAGAAACCAACAACTAGCAAAAATTCTCGTTTGCAGAACAGCTGGTAAGAAAAGAAACAACTTGCTGAGACTCTGATGATGAGATCAAGAAAAAGCTAGCTAGAATCGGTGGAAACTAAGATGGCTGACTGGAGTTTGCACAGAACAAGCTTGCTGGCGTCCCAGCCCAAATTTCCACGTTTCATACTTACTCCCCCAGAATTCACACATGTGACCCATGAGATAGCGGGAAGAGACAACTGGACATGCGCAGGGCCTTCCCAGACCTCCTCTTTCCTTTCACCAATTACCTATATAGTCTCAGAATCTATCCCCTGAACCTTTTCTAATAAAAATACTGCTTTGAAGCCAGTGCAGGGAAACAGATTTGAACTTGACTCCTTTCTCCTTAAGAGTCCACTTTCAATATAAAGCTTTTCTTTTCTCCAAAACCCGGTGTCATAGTATTGGCTTCTAGTGCATTGGGCACCCTTTCACTCAATAACAACATCAGTCAACTTCTGAGCGGAGCCCATTTATTGTCTTATGTGAGGACACACTTTTATTCAAGCCACATCTGGGAGGAGAAAGTCTCCCAGCTAATAATCAAAGATCCAGTATCTGGAGTGGGAATGTTCCTTACAGAACTGACATCTGCACCAGCCATTTCCCAGGAGAGGGCATCACTCCTTATACCATCCACCTGGAGGTATACCATCCGCCTGCTGCCTGATATCTGTGTTCAGTTTCACTTCTAAAATACTTTCAACTATATAACTTCATTTCACCTCCACAACCCAGCAGGGTATAGGGGAGTGAGATAGGCTTTGGCACGTATTTCCACCTTCTCCCCACCCCACTCCTAAGTCCTGCCCCAGGTTCCTGCCAAAGGAGCCCATACACAAAGATCTGTAGCCAGCTGAGAAGGATTTCTCACTTTATTAAAGATGGCAGGACAAGAACCCAAGATTTTTTTAGATTATTCTTGTTATGACTTTTTTTTTTTAATTATACTTTAAGTTCCAGGGTACATGTGCACAACATGCAGGTTTGTTATATATGTATACATGTGCCATGTTGGTGTGCTGCACCCATTAACTCATCATTTACATTAGGTATTTCTCCTAATGCTCTCCCTCCCCCCTCCCCCACCCCACGACAGGCCCCGATGTGTGATGTTCCCCACCCTGTCTCCAAGTGTTCTCATTGTTCAATTCCCACCTATGAGTGAGAACATGTGGTGTTTGGTTTTCTGTTCTTGCGATAGTTTGCTCAGAATGATGGTTTCCAGCTGCATCCATGTCCCTACAAAGTACATGAACTCATCCTTCTTTATGACTTCATAGTATTCCATGGTGTATATGTGCCACATTTTCTTAATCCAGTCTATGATTGATGGATATTTGGGTTGAAGAACCCAAGATTCTAATGCAAAGGCCCGTTAAAAGCTGAACTGGGGGTGGTGAGCCCATGTCAAAGTGGAGGCTCCTCTCTCCAATCCGTCTAAATTTGGAAGGGGCACTCTTGGCGCCAGAGAGCTGAGCAGATCCTGAAAGGATCTTTGGCTGAGTTTACCAATTTCAAGGACGTATGAGTCTGATTCCCTACAGCAATAGGCAAGGAACACGATGCAGGGGGCTGTGCCAAGCATTAGTGCTGACCTTCAACACTTCCTGTGATGTAACCCTGCTATCAAGGGTGACTCTATCAGTGATAAGTGGCTGACCAATACAATCTGTAAATCTTCCTTCCTTTGGGAGGAACTAGTAAAGGAGAAGAAAGGGAAACCAGAAGTCTCAGCGTAGAAGTTACCAATTGTGCAGGTCAAGACTGAAAGATGAGACAAAGAACAGAAACATTTCCTCTTTTTTCAACACAAAATAGGCAAGGAGTTTATTATTATCACATGATCCCCACTTTACAGATGAAGAAAAGAAAGAATAGAAACATTAAATGATGTAGTGATCATCACAAAGCTGGTGAGTATTCACGTTGGTCTGCAGGTGCCTCTTTCTTAGTTAGTGGTGCTGGTGGTGAGAAGATGGACAGAGTCCTAAACCTCCAGTTCCTGTGCCACCATGTGCTCAACTGCTGCCTGCAGCTGCCACTCTGTGGGGTTACTAAAATAGCCATAGACAAGGAGTTCTAGCAGAGCACTCCACGTGTTTCTAGATAGGCTCTTGCTCCGAAGCCTGGTCTCCTATCCAGGTGAACTGTGAGGGGTAGGGGTCGGGACACGTGTGAGCTAGACTAGGGGTTAGACTGGAGATGAGCCTACTCCCTGCGTCCTTTCCTGGAGTCTCATCCTGTGCTAAATGAGCCGCCAAGCCGTTTCCGCTCCAAGACCAGATAAAGGAAAGGAAAGAGCCTTCTCTCCTGAGGAAATGTGCGGCTCTGGAGCGAATGCCATCTAGTTCCTGACTCAGCAGCGTGATTTCCATCTGGGCGTTCACTCCTCCCTCACATAACCCCTGTGCTGACTTCACACCCAGTTCCAAGAATGGGGCTTGACTGACTTAAGGCTATCAACACGACCACCCCACTCCACGAGTGGCCAGGGATGGACATAGACCCTAATTAGTGTTACTCAAAGACAAAGGCACATTCCCTTGGGATCCTGGAGAAAACAACTTCACTCTTCCTCAGAAGCTACTTGAGGGACATTCTCGTCTCTTTGGATGTGAGCAAGGACATCGCAGCACTGAAAGCTACTTGCAGCCATCTCGTGGCCACGTAGAGAAATACATGTTGTGGAACGCAGAGGAGAAATGAAAAGCCTCCGGGGTCTTTGCCGCCCTTGAGTTGCTGAATGAAGTCTTGACTGAAGCCTGATATCTTTAGGCTTTTCAGGTTTGTGAATCAATAAATTTTCTTTAACGTTCAAGCCAGTTTGAGTGACATTTTTGGTAGTTGCAGATTTCCAATTAACATGCACTGTAACACGTAAGCATATTAGTTTTTAGAGAGCCCACAGTTTCCCTTAACCATGCTTGAGTTTTCTGATGACGGCCAGAGTAGAAAGTCAAATTTTCCTGTGTCAGCCACATGGAAGGGAAGAAAAAACCAACTTTAAAAAAACTAAAAAGTCTTTGTTGTCATTCCCCCAACACACACCTCTCCAAAGAAAAAAGTAAAGGGCCAAATATATAATCTCATGTTCAAAGGAAATTACTGTTATTATTATTATTACTTTGTAAGTAGATTTTATTTTTTAGACAGTTTTAGGTTCACAGAAAAATTGAGTGGAAGTTTCTGAGACTTCCCATACACCCGCTGCCCTCCCCATGCACGGCATCCCCCGTTATCAGCATACCCTACCAAAGCGGTGCATTTGTTATCATTGCTGGACCTACATTGACACTCGATATCGTCATTGTCACTCAGCGTCCAAAGCTTACCTTAGGGTTCACGGTTGGTATTGTACATTTTATGGGTTTAAACACATGTATAATAACATGTATCCACCATTATAGAATCATACAGAGTATTTTTACTGCCCTAAAAAAGTCTATGCTCCACCTGTTCATTCCTTCCTCCTCCCAACCCCCAGCAAGCACAGTTCTTTTTACTGTCTTACTGTCTTCCAAAGTGTCTATAGCATTTTGCATTCCCACCAGCCATAAAAGAGAGTTCCGGTTGCTTCACAGCCTCACCAGCAATTGGTGTTTTCAGTGTTCTGAATTTTGGCTGCTCTGATAGGTGTGTAGTGGTATCTCGTTGTTTTAATTTGCATCTCTCTGATGACATATGATGTGGGACATCTTTTTATGTGTTTATTTGCCATTACATGTCTTCTTTGGAGGAGGTATTTGTTAAGTTCTTTGGCCCATTTCTTAATTAAGTTCTTTGTTTTCTTATTGTTGAGTTTTAAGAGTTCTTTGCGTATTTTGGGTACCAGTCCTTTATCAGGTGTGTTTTTAGCAAATATCTTCTCTCTCTCAGTCTGCAGCTTGTCTTTTCATTCTCTTGACAGTGTCTTTGGCAGAGCAGAAATCTTTCATTTTAATGAAGTCCAGCATATCAATTCTTTTTTTCATGGATTGTGGTTTCGCTATTATATCTAAAAAGTCATTGCCAATCCCAAGGGCATGTAGATTTTCTCCTATGTTATCTTCTAGTTTTATAGTTTTATATTTTGGTCTGTGAGGTATTTTGAATTAATTTTTGTGATGGGTGGAAAGTCTGTGTTGAGATTCACTTCTCTGCATGTGGATGTTCAGTTGTTTCAGCACCACTTATTGTAAAGCCTATCTTTTCTTCATTGTATTTGTATTGCCTTTGCCCCCTTTTCAAAGATTAGTTTATTGTGTTTATGTGAGTCTATTTCTGGGCTTTCTGTTCTATCTCATTGATCCCCTGTCAATTTTTTTTTTTTTAACCAATACTTCACTATCTTTATCACTGTGGCTTTAGGGTAATTATAGTAATGTAATAAGTCTTGATGTCAGTCCTCCAATTTTGTTCTTTGTTCTTCTCCTTCAATATTGTGGTGGCTATTGACTTTCTTTTGACTCTTCATATAAACGCTGAAATCAGATTATTGATATCCACAAAATATCTTGCTAGGATTTTGATTTTGGTTGCATTGAATCTATAGATCAAGTTGTGAAGAACTAGTGTCTTGACTAATATTGAGTCTTCCTATCTATGAACATGGAATATTTCTCCATTTATTTAGTTTTTCTTTGGTTTCTTTCATCAGAGTTTTATGGCCTTCCTTATATAGACCATGTATGTGCTTTGTTAGATTTATACCCAAGTATTTTATTTTGAGGGCCTATTAATATAAATGACAATTTCTTTTTAATATCAAATTCCACTTGTTCATTGTTGCTATGCAGAAAAATAATTGACTTTTGCAAATTAACCTTGCATCCTGAAACCTTGTTATAATTGTTTATTAATTCCAGGAGGTTTTTGGTGATTTTTCAGATTTTTTTTTTTTTTTTTTTTTTGAGATGGAGTCTCGCTTTGTCACCCAGGCCGGAGTGCAGTGGTGTGATCTTGGCTCACTGCAACCTCCGCCTCCCAGGTTCAAGCGATTCTCCTGCCTCAGCCTTCTGAGTAGCTGGGATTACAGGTGCACGTCACCACACCTGGCTAACTTTTTAATTTTTAGTAGAGATGGGGTTTCACCATGTTGGTAAGGCTGGTATTGAACTCCTGACCTTGTGATCCATCCGCCTCAGACTCCCAAAGTGCTGGGATTACAGGCGTGAGCCACCGCAGCCGGCCTGATTCTTTCGGATTTTCTATTAAACAATCATCTCATTTGTGAACGAGACAGTTTTATTTCTTCCTTCTCAGTCAGTATACATTTTATTTACTTATCTCATTGCATTAGCTAGGATTTCTAGCATAATGTTGAAAAGCTGTGTTCAGAGAGT